ACGGACTTTATATATTTATGTTATGGTATTATGGTATGAGCTTGAGTCTCAGGACCATGGTTAGGGTGCGTATATCGCCTAGGATGGATAGCTGGACAGAGGTGTTGTTCCCTGGTAGGTCTAGGTACACATGACCACATTATGTGTGATTTGCATGGTATCTCTACTTAGGCTGAGACAGACCTATTGGACTAGTGAGCGTCCTATAGTGTGTACTTATACATATATGGACTACTCTAGATATTGTTGAGTCTATCTAGGATGTAACTGCGTATCGGGTTTATGTATGGATCGTAGTGGAATAGGACTTGCATGTGGGCCTGACCCACTCTCTTATTTTTCAGGTGTTCTCCAGTTCCAGGGTTATAGCTTGGACGTGTAGAGTAGATACAGACACTCACTCCTCCAGTTATGTAGGATTACTTTCTATATTTAGCTTTGGACTTGGTTCAGTTTTTCTCGTTACGATTTGAGATTTTATTAGGGGTCCACTAGATAGATTCCCAAGTTGTAAATAAATGGAGGTTTTGGATTATAGGTTTTACAATAATAACCTTTGAGGATTTTGTAATTAGAATTCTTTCAGCTTTAATATTTATTTTTACATTCAGTTTTGTATTCTATATTCGTTTTACATATTAATTGTTTGGTATCTCTCGGATCTGTGCTCGGACTTGATTACCCGTGGCTCTAGAATCGAGCGGTATCACAAATAGTGAAATTGATATTCAGCAAATACGTTCATGTGCAAATTTAGCACACCTGTTTACTAAGGCACTGCCAACCACGGCGTTCAAGAAATTGGTACACAACTTTGGCATTGATAAGGTGGAGAACTTAAAAAGGTATTGACATTTATTGTACTCTTTTTCCTTCGCTCAGGTTTTGTCTCAATGGGTTTTCCTAGCAAGGTTTTAATGAGGTAGTTCTAAACTATGTAATACTTTTTTCAGACACACAAGAATATTATATTCTTTTTTCTTCACTCAGATTTTGTCCCAATGGGTTTTCCTGACAAGATTTTAACGAGACATATTCTCAGTGTAGCATTGTAGACCCTAAGGGGGAGTGTTTTATATATGGGCCCCACAACTATATGCAAGTTGTAAATGATGGCACACAATTTAAGGAATCTTACAAATACATCAATACGCGGATATTGGGAATATGAATATTGCAAATTGCATTTGTGATTTCTATGTTAGTTGAATTGTAATGATTACCATTGCAATCTTAGCTTCCTTTACAAGCACATTGTATTGCTATAAATATCAGTTCATTATGGTATTCTAAGTGTACGAAAAACATAAGAGAAATAAAAAAAGTTCTCTTCTCTCTCTCAATCTATTGTGTTCTATTATTATATTTATAACAATTATTTATATTTTGAATGTGGAATTGATATATTGTAATAAGGACGGTCACTATAATGAAATTATTTTTATTTCACCAGATTTGAATTTCTAAAAATAAGAATAAAAAATTGAATGAATTTTTTAGGAGTCACATAAACTCAACATTAATAATTATTAAGAGACTTACAAACAAGATTTTTCAAATAAAAAATCTAAGAGGGCCCCAATGTATTGGTTTCACATTTTATGTTTGGGTTGATTGCCCTGAAAGAAATGTTGTGCGTGTGTTTTAGTTATAAGAGTTGATAGCTAGCATTATATCTTTGTTTGATGTCCATGATGCCTAAAAATATATATACAATTGATAAAAGAAAAAAAAAAATTAGTATTATAATCGAAGCTTATTAGTACAAAAAAGAAGAAATAGACGTATATGGAATGGCTTTACCAGTCAAAGTCATAGTCATAGTCAAAGTCATAGTCGTACATATGATTTATAGTATATCACAGAAAATGCATGAATGTGGTATATTCGGCATATATTCTTCATTTTGTCCACAGGCTAAATCAACTATTAGATTAAAGGGTCTCTTTCACGTTAATGAAACAACAAGCTATAAAATTCTTTATGAATTTGTTGCATTTGCATAAGTTTGCATTCACTTTATATACTAGTAAAACACATAGACTTAATGAAAAGTTATTTTATAATTTTAATTAAAAAAATTAAATAAAAATTATCAAAATAAATTCACTTTTTCAAACAGTAACTTGTTTGAGTAATTAAAATTTTAAATATTTATAAAGTGAAATGTGTTATCAAGATTAAAATTTAAGAGTAAAATCTCAAGTTTAAGGGTTGCAATTATTTGTATAATATGTATATAATTAGATAATGGAATATATAATATTTGAAAACTCATAGAGAAGGAAATATATAATATTACAAAACGTATTTGTTTAGTTAATAAATGCTACTATGACATAATTAAAAAGTAAAAATAAATCAACATGATCAGTGCAATTCAAAGAATAAAATATAATTAAAAAATACAAAAAAAAAAAAAAATCAACATAATTAATGCAATTCAAAAAATAATGTACTTGTAATAAAACAAAGAATTTTGAACCATGCCATGAAACAAATCAATCAAAATAAATTAAGATGTTTTTCAAAAATAAATGGAGTCATCTAAATGAAAATTTTTTTGCAATCCAAAGATATTACAACCAAAGTTGAAAGAAAACATAATGCACCAATAATAAAATAAAGAATTTTGAACCATGTTATTAAACAAATCAATCAAAATAAATTAAGATGTTTTTTCAAAAATAATGGTGACATGACGTAATTAAGCAAACACAAAAAAATAAAAAATAAAATAAATTAACATGATTAATGGAATTCAAAGAATAAAACATAATTAAACAATATATATATATATATATATATATATATATATATATATATATATATATATGATTAATGCAATTCAAATAATAATGTACCTGTAATAAAACAAAGAATTTTAACCATGTTGCGAAACATATCAATCAAAATAAATTAAGATATTTTTTCAAAAATAAATGGAGTCATCAAAAAAAAAAAAAATCTATGCAATTCAAAGAAATTAAAGAAAACATAATGTACTTATAAAAAAATAAAGAATATTGAACCATGTTGCAAAAACAGATCAATTAAATTAAGATTTTTTTTCAAAAATAAATGGTGACATGACATAATTAAAAAAATATATATATATTTAACATTATTAATGCAATTCAAAGAATAAAACATAATTTTTAAAAAAATCAACATGACATTATAATAAAACATAAGAAAAATTTTATTATAAAATTATAATATTATAATGGAAAGGTTTAGATCTATATTTACATTTAGAAAAGAGTTACAAATAGAATAAATAAAGTTGTTTTAACCTTGAAGAATTCATTTATTTTTATTCATTTTATTTATAGAAACACTTTTATTTTAATTCATTTATTTATAGAAACTTTTTTTATTATATAAAAAGTCATTTTATATCAATTAATAAATATTTTTTTATATTAATAAATAAATATTGAAATACTGAAATTTCTTTACACTTTTAATAATAGTATAGATATAGATATAGATGTAGATATAGATTTAATAATAGTATAGATATAGATATAGATTAATTTTAATTGGTAATTTATTTAATAATTTGAAACATTTTGATTGAATATCAATTAAAAAAATTACCTATTTAATTTTAATTGATAATTTATTTTATTATTTGGTATATTATTTTATTATATTTAATTACCTATTTTATTATTTTAATATGTAATTTGTTTTAGTTGTTTTAATAGTTTTATAGAAATTCTTTTATTTTAATTCATTTTATTTATAGAAAATCTTTTATTTTAATTCATTTTATTTATAGAAACTCTTTTATTTTAATTTATTTATTTATTGAAACTCTTTTATTTTAATTCATTTTATATAAATTAATAAATAAATACTAAAATAAAGAAACTTTTTACACTTTTTAATAATAGTATAGATATATATATATTTTTTAGCAACAAATTTCTTTTACTGACTTATTATTAGAGAAATAATAAATCAAAAGAAGAAACTGATAAGCACAATTAAAAAGGTAAGAACAAAGACAATTCATAGTTTGCGCAAAATGTTCTTGTACAGGGATTTGTTGTGCTAGGACACATTTGTAATTCTTTAATTGTTTACTCCAAACTCTTGTTTTTTTCCTATTATATAAGTTATTATTTCCTTGGGTACATGAAATGGTGGCAGTGAGACGTTGGTGAAGATAGAGAGGAAGGGAAGGGAAGGAAAAAAAGGGTATTTTTAACTATTGAAATATTTTTTAAATTATTTCATGAAAACATAAAGGTAATCAAGGCCTTACACTTTAGTTGATGGACATCTTGATCTCTTTAAGACTTCAGCCAAGAAAAGTCATTGTAGGTTACCTAAAATCTACACCCCCACTTAATGCATAAAAAAATCCTAGTGGAGATATTACATCACATTACCCTTCTTAAGTTAATGGTCTTACCTAAAAAAACAGAAATCAAAATACCTTACCATGATTAAACAAATTAAAATGCACTCACTGATTTATCATGAATAAACAAATTCAACATAAAACTGACACTTTAGTTTAAACAAAATAAATAGAAAAAAAATAATAAGCCATTAAATGAATTTGTGATTTAAAAAAACAAATAACTCTCACTAGTCCAGGACCCCAGGTTAAAAATAAAATAAAATAAAAAATAAATAAATTTGTTAACATTAAATAGTTTATCCATAGAACATTTGACGTGAAAAATTTAATACAAAATTTTAATTATACAATTTTCAACCACAGCTCATTATGCTATCAGAACAAACTAATTAACTGGTTCAAAAAGTGTCCCACCTTTATGTTGAATACAGTAATACCATAGTTTGGATTCACACTTGCTGGGAAGCTGATCGCACCAATGGTTCTTTCCACCCCTTTTATCATTTGACCACTTTCCCTTCTCTCTCTCGCTACTGCTGTCCTTTCCTCTCTCTTCATCATTGAGCATAACAAATTCAATCTTCAGTTCTTGGGGGATTTTGCTTATTACAGGTAACCCTTTTACAATTGCTTAATATTCCAAGTTTATTACATGGATCATTAATCAATTTGTATTTTGTTTGTTCTGTTTCTGCTTGATTTGTTGTTAATAAGTTCATGGATCCATGAAAAAAAGCTGAAACTGCATATAGATCTGTAGCCTGATTAAAACTAGCCACTGGGTCTGGTATTTCTGTCTTTCTCTGTCAGTTCAAGGATCCAATTTGTTGTAAAAGTTTAAGTTAGTAGGAATTTGCCATGCATAAATTTAAAATTAGTATGGAAAGTAAATAAGTATGATTAAATTTGAATATTTTAATTTAGTAAAACTGAAAATATATACAGAGATGTACAAAAGATCGAAGGTGAATAAATAACAAAAGATTTTTTTTTTTTTTTACTTAAGCTCAATTCTTTAATTGTGCGATCAACTGAGTTTAAAAAAATGAAAGGAAAATTTTTAAAGCAGCTACAGCTATATTTGGGAGTATCAAATCGGCTCATTGGAATTGTAGGAAGTTTAGTTCAAAGCTTCACAAACACAACATAACAGTTATTGCCAAGCCATGCTTTTGGAAGAGAATGTTAGTCAGTTTTAAGAAATTAAATTTCCAAAAATGATTACTATTAAAATGTGTCTGCGGAGATAAATGTATGTCAAGACAAAGAAGGACAAAAGTAGAAATAAAAATCACATCAATTGGAGATAAAATTAGAGAGTCTACTAACATGGTTTTGGTAATGTGCAGCAAAAACCTACAGTTGTGCTTGTGAGGAATAATTTCTTTTTCGTCAATGGCGATGATAAAAAAAAAAAAAGACGAAACTAACACGAGTTCATGTAGTAAGGAAGTTATAAGAGTGAGTAGTTTTATTGAAGTTATCATTAACCCTAGAAAGAGCAAGTGGTGAAATATTTTACATGTACCAGCATATGGAAAATAATTGAGGAAATTTTGTTGAGTTGAGTTGTTCTAAAACCTTTGTGAAGCCAAAGCATTTTGTGTTTGGATTTTTTGTTGTGTGTGTTCCATTTAACCCTTGCCTGATGTATAATTCATTCAGATATTGTAAAGGGGAGAAAAGTAAAAATTAGTAGTGTTGATGATGGAATCATTAAGATTAGAGATGCTATATGCTGTAAAAGAGTTCTGGTTGTTCTTGATGATGTGGATCAATTGAACATATTAAATGCAATACTCATTATGCGAGATTGGTTTTGTCCGAGAAGTAAAATTATCATAACAACCAGACATGAGCAATTGCTGAAGGCACATGAGCTTGATAAGATTTACAAAGTTAAGGAATTAAACGATGATGAATCGTTTCAACTCTTCTGTTGGCATACCTTTGGACCAAATCATCCCATTGAAGCTTACTCTGAGAAGTCAAAAATGGTCGTAAAGTACTGCGGAGGGCTTCCTTTAGCTCTTCAAACGTTGGGTTCGTCTCTATCTGGTAGACCTATAGATGTGTGGGAAAGTACATTAAAGAAATTAGAAACTATTCCTAACACTCAGATCCTAAAGAAACTTAAAATAAGCTTTGATTCTCTACAAGATGATCATGACAGAATCGACATTACTTGTTTCTTTGTTAGAAAGGATAAAGATTTCACAATTACAATACTAGATGAGTGTGATTTCTACACAAAAGCTGGGATACACAATCTCATCGATAGATGTCTCATAACTATCGATGACAACAAGAAGCTGGCAATGCATCAGTTGCTTCGGGACATGGGGAGAGAAATCATACGCCAAGAGTCACCGAAGGAACCTGGGAAACGCAGCAGATTGTGGCATCACAAGGACGCATTTAGTGTATTAAATGAAAAAACTGTAAGAAATATGCTTCTCATGATGTCTACTTGAATACTTTTTAGTTGTTATGCTTACTTTTTTAAGTATCTTACCAGGGAACAGATTCCATTGAAGGTCTCATCCTTAACTTGAATGTGTCTGGGGAAGATAGGTCCACCGAGGAATTCGTTGGTTTAGATAATGCAAAAAGACACTATTCAGAAGACTTTCTTGACAAATCAGCATTATTATTGGAGAACAATTCATTGAAGCGGCGTCATTTAGGGTTCTTCTCTTGGCTCCCCATAAATTCTGCCTCAACAAGATCGCATTCCACATCAGATGAAGTAGATTTGCAAACTGATGCATTTTCAAGGATGCACGGATTAAGAATACTCCAGCTGAATAATACGAGGCTCACAGGAGACAATGAAGAATTCCCTAGGAAGTTAAGATGGTTGTGTTGGCGTGGGTTCCCTTTAGAATCTATACCCAGTGGCTTTCACCTGGAGAGTCTTATTGCCCTTAACATGCGCAATAGTAGCTTGAAACATGTTTGGAATGGAAACAAGGTCTCATACTAACTTTTTTCCTCCTTTTATTTTCATTGGTGATTAATATAAATATTCATATAAATTAATTTCTAAATGGACCGTTGCGTGGTACATTGATAAAATGTTAAGGTTGTCAAGTGTATTATACTAATATGTTCTACGTTTTTAAATAGTTGCTCAGATCGTTCAAAATCCTCAATCTCGGTCATTCCCGTGGTTTTATCAATACGCCTGGCTTCTCACAAGCCCCCAATCTTGAAAGGTTGATTCTTAAAAATTGCATAAATTTGATTGAGGTTCATGGATCAATTGGGGATTTAGGGAGACTAGTTCTGTTGAATCTAAAAGGATGCAAAAAACTTCGGAAGCTTCCATCAAAAATTGGCAGGCTAAAATGTCTTGAAGTACTCATTCTATCTTCTTGTTTAAAGCTCGAGAAGTTGCCAAAATAGCTGGGCAAGATGGAGTCTCTGAAAGTGCTCCTTGCAGACGAGATTGGAATAAATCAATTACCCTCCATGACTACTGGGGTAAGATCATGGCCTTCGCACTTCCGGGATTGGCCATTGGGACCAAGAAGAATTCCAGAATCGATCAGCTTTTCGCTGTGTTCTTTACCACGCTCATTATCAGTCTTGAGTCTTACTGGCTGCAACCTATCAGATGATGCTATTCCAAAGGATCTTGGCTGCCTATCCCAGTTGCAGAACTTGGATCTAAGTAGAAATCTGATCTGTAGCATACCAGAGCGCATCAAGGGTCTCACTATGCTCCACACACTCAATCTACGCAACTGCCCAAAACTCCAGTTACTTCCAGTGCTTCCAACGAGTTTAGGGGAGTTGGGATTACTCGAGTGCAGGGCATTGGAAATGATAACAAAACTACCAAACCTGTTGAATTCACTGTATTTGTTGACAAATTCGTGTGACAAACTAAGTGAGGTTCAGGGGTTGTTCAAGTTAGAACCCATTGGAAACTTTGATGAAGTGATGATCAGCAATTTGGGATTGACCAACTTGGAATTCCTAAGAAATATTGAAGTTTCTTTGTTTAACCTTATGACGGAAACTAAAAGAAAAGTTCCTCTACAGGTGAGTTTTCTCTCTCTCTCTCTTACACACACACACTCATATTTGTAAGAGTTAAAATTTGTGGTTTACATGCTGTAGGGACGCTATGAATTGGGTATATTGAGCACTTTTCTCCCTGGTAATGAAGTTCCAGGCTGGTTCAGCATTAATAGCAAGGAATCTTCAATATGTTTTAAGGTACCTTCAAATCCTAATTTCAAGATCCAAGGCTTGAATGCATGTGTTGTTTATGCACAAACTGATGGACATTCTGGTGGTTGGATCGATAATTGTTCAGTATATCTTGTTAAATCTCCGGTAAAAAGCACAATTATCAGGGAGAAAGAGGACAGCTGGGTTTATAATTATACATCTACGTTACAATTCCACTTTACAGTTCTGCATGATTGAAGTGAGTAATAGGACAAGGGATCTGAAGTGTATATATTGCCCATCATTCATGGGCGTTCCAGATGACGGGACTGAGATGGTATGGTTAAGCCATTGGAATTTTGTGAATCAATTAGTGAAGCTGGTGATGAATTGAATGTTTAAGTGTTTTTCGGTGCGCCAAAAAATGGAAGCGGTCGGTGTTTTAAGCTAAAGGAGTTTGGGATCCACGTTGTGTTTGAGGAAGAAGAGAAGGGTACCCCATACCACACCTATCCTTCTTGTCAAAATGTTGATTTGTCAGTGTATCAGGTGAGGACACGTGCCTACTTCCTCTGCAATCATAAGCGGAGAATTTTACCCCAATGGCAATAGGTTACTCTGAACTTTATTTGGATAGATTTTGTCCAATCTCGAGTTTTGATGACCTAAAGTTTCTTTAATTTTTATGGTAAATAATTATTTTGTGACATTTAAATAATATGGGACAAAGAAAGAATTATTCAAATAAAATTTTAGATCATCCAATATCTTTAGTTTTGATGACCTAAAGTTTCTTGAACTCCTCATTCCTTTCTAATAAAGTTCAATAAATTTTCTAAGAGCACTATCTTTGTGGTGCAATCACTTTTTAGGTGGTAATAAAAAATTAAGATTTTGTTATATTTAAGGTGTTTTTTTTTCTTTTTTTTCTTTTTTTTTTTTTTTTTTTTTTTTTTTCAAATATATTCAAGTCTTGAGTGATTATGAAAGGCACTATCACTTACAATTTTAAACCCACAATGTCTTCTCTCAATTTTATCATTTTTTAAATGATGCTCATCTTTTTAAAATGATGATCATTTTTGTGATATAATTGTGAAAAAGTAATTGAGTTTCAAGAATAATTGTTCAAGTTAGAACCAATTATCGACTGACTTATTGTTAGACAACTAATAATTGCAAGAACTTGCAATTCCGAGGGATGAAGAATTCGATCCAAAATGAAGAAGAAACATGTCAACATACCAATAGAGAGGATTGTTGGAGATTAGTTCTTATTCCCATTTGAACCACCATCCCTTACTCTATTACAATTGAATTCGCTGCGAATACTGCGACTAGTATGCATATTTTGCTTCACCATTATATAAAAATATTTATATATTTTAACAATATTATTATTAAATTATATTTGATTTAATCATTTTATTTTTGTATAATTTCATATTAAGTGCGTAAAACAGTTAAGTTGTTTTATAAAGAGAATGATTTTCAATTTATTTATTATTATTATTATTATTATCATTTTTTTGAAGTGTGGGTGACACTCTTGAGAAATCTTTATTCCCTCTCTCTACGCTATAGAATTATTTTTAATATGTATGTTTTTTTAAATCGTGCACGTAGAGAATGTGAGTAGGGCAGTGATGCTATTATTTTTATATGTACATTTTCCCACATTGTGCACATAGAGAATGTGAGTAGGGCAGTGCAAAATAAGTTGTGGAATTTAGTTTAAAAACACTTTGAGATGGGTGAATAAGTGTAACTTGTGCTTTTATCTAAATTTTTGTTTAAATTAAATTTGTCGAATTAAAATTAAATTAGATAGCCCACAAAAATAAACGTGGTTGTTAAATACACCGGTAGTGCTTCTAAATTCAATCACCTACCATTTTTATTATTATTATTTTTATTATAATTCAATAACCAACTTTTAAAGTGCTTCTACATTTTGTGAAAATGTATAACCTCCAATGGCTGTTTCTTTATATAACCGAAAAAGTAAATTAATTTAAAAATCAACAATTTTTTATATAAAATTATGAAGAAATTACCCGAAGTTGAAAAATATCCCAAACTATTCAATATCGCCAAATCAGGACAACCTTTCATTTTTCTGTCAATGGAGCAAGAAAATAATGGAAATGCGCTTATGTTAATAGGAGGAAAAAAAAAAAAAAAAAAAAAAAATTGAAGTACAAGAGAAGACAATGAGTAGTGTAATAGGTACAAATTAAATTTGAATAATTATAGTTACATTCACTGTAGACAGGGACAAAAGTGACAATTTACATGGTTGTGTCATCGAAATTTAACTTGGGACTTGGGGCACATAACCTCGTTTAACCTCCTATCACAATTCTTTATTTTGTTAGGGGTGTGAGAAAGAATAAATAGAATCAGAAAATAGTATGTGGTGTTTTAGAGATAAAGAAAAATGCATTATTAAGATAAAATAAATGAATATAAATATAGATTTAGATAGATAGAAAAATTATAATAATCATAATAATGAAATTGAATGCCAATCGGCCACACAAGTGGTATTAATCATTAGTTTTGGAAAAATAAATAAATAAAATGAAAAATGAGAAAGAAATAGAAATTTTAGTAATAGACGACTCCCAAACAGGCCATAAATATTTCTAACTTTACCCTTTTTATTTATTTTTATTTCTTAAAACTCCATAACTCGAATGAAAAACCAAAGTAAGTCAAGTTCCTGTTAATGAGAAAACAATTTTGAAGTTTAGTAAGAAAGAAATATACAATCTCTTTTCTAAGAATGTCTTATATATCCATCTCTTATTCTTTTTCTTTCATTCAATTTTTTTTTTTTTTTCTACCCAAGAGAACATAAAGCAAGCAGGCTTCGAAAAATAATAACTCAAAAAAGATATTGATAAGCACATGGAAGTAAAAACAAGGACAACAACGATGATAATGAAGAGGAACAGAAACTCACAATTCAGAGTGAATTCTGTGCAACTTGTTACCATGAAAATTGTATATTTTGTTGATTTTTCAAATCAAGGGAGTGTTAGATACCAATGGGCTGCAAGTCAAATACTTAATTTTGTGATTTATCACAAATAAACAAATAACACTTACTGTTCCAAATTACAAAAATAAAAGGGAAAAAAGATTGAGAAAAAAAAAAGGAAAAGAAATGAAGTAGCGAAAGCTATGAAATGTTCACAAAAAAAATATCACAACTTTGAATTCACAAAATTGAAGAAAAATTGCAAATCAATCTGAAATATTATTAATGAAAAGTTAAATTTTGTTAGGGGTGTGAGAAAGAATAAATAGAATTAGAAAATAGTACGTGATGTTTAAGAGTTAAAATAAATAAAGCAAGCAGGCTTTGGAAAAAATAATTCGAAGAAGAAATTGATGAGCACATGGAAGTAAAAACAAAGACAATAACAGAGAGGATGAAGAGGAAGAGTGTTAAGGATAATTAACTCCCTCCAACTCACTCAACGGTCGGTTGTTGTTAAGAGTTAAATTCCTCCTTCATCACACACAGCGGAAGTATCATCATATCACATTAACACAAGCATATATAGAGATAATAATCATACATATCCACGCACAACACAATATTTTCTATGGTTCACCCAACTCTAGGATTACGTTTATGGGAGAGAGATATTTCACTATTATGAATTAAGAAATAGAATATACAACCACATGTCAAAATCTCACTCACTCACTCATCATTTATTTTGAGGCTACATGTATATGCTCGGGAATTACATATACGTTCCCCTCTCCTCACAACACTCACTTTTAAACTCCTTACATCTTTTCTTTCTTCTCCCTCTCTAAATCCCTCATACCCATCTCTATTTATAGAGCCTTCAAAAAAATCAATTTCTTGTTGGACAAGTATTCTTCAAATCCAATCTCTTATTGGATAAGGATTAACTACCTACAAGGAGTTACCATATCCATCTTTAACTCTAAAATAGCAGGTATAATTTATTTTCTAAATCTGTAGCCTTTTTCCCTAAGTCTTCTAGATTCTAAAACCAATCAAGAAACTATTACTCGCAGCTTTCAAAACGAAAAAGAAAACTAATTTTTTACGCACAAATTTTGAGTCACAAACCCCATAAAGAAAAACTCACAATTCAGGGTGAATTCTGTGCAAAAACTAACGAGTTTTGGTCTATGAGTTCCAAAAAATAAAAATAAAAAAAAATTACTTCATTATGGTCCGAAAAAAGGACTCAACGAACTGATAATGAAAATTTAACACAAAACTTAGATGGTATGGTTTCAATCCAAACTCATTCCGATCAACCTCTTTAAAGTTTACACACTTATTTTTGTCGGGGGTCAAAGAAAGCTGACCCACCCGTGACGAGCATAATATTGACGGATTGGACAAAAAGTCCTCACCAAGAAAAAAAGAGTGATGGAGATTAAATATTCAATATTTGTTTTGGTTTTTTTTTTATAAAAAAAGTTATACTCCAAATTTGTTGTCGTGCTTTACTCGTCTGATTTTCAATCAACCACTTTTTTCAAATGGCATGGGTCATCTTCATCTACTTTATTGTATATTGGCGGCATTGGCCAACACAGCTCTATCCTTTTGGTAAAGTATGTCCAAAGACTTGAAATTTCCGTCAACCCACTTTCTCTTGAATTTGATTAGGCCCATTTTGACGACCATTACTTAAATGGCCATAATTGGGCGGGTTGGCACCATGACTTCTGATTTGGGTGACTCTGAAGGTGTGGCTCCTGTGTAATAATATAACATAAAATCATACCATTGGTCAAATTTAATCAAAATAAATAGAAATCATTGAGGTCCCAAGGGCATACCAGTTGGAAAATTTAGGAGATAAGTCTCGAAGTCTCGCTTTTGGATTGTACTTTTAACTTAAATGTTGCTTGTGTTGTAAGGTCAATGCACGTGTTATAAAAAAATAAAAATAAAAAATCATTGAGCCATGGATATACTAGCGTTGGCAGAGATTCAAGAGGTAAGTTTTTGAAGTCTCGTTTTTGAACCTGCACTCCTGTCTTAAATGGTACGTGCGTTATAAGGCCGATGCACGTGTTATAAATAATAATAATAAAAAAAATCATTATTTTCTATATGGATCCCACCAATGAGTATTTCCTTCCCTTTTCAGTCCAGACTTTCCCTTCTTTCTCACTCTTCCTTTTTTACTCCTTTCCTCTCTCTTCATCCAGTGAGCATAACAAATTCAATCTTTCCGTGGAGCGTTCAATCCATTTATAAAGAGCAAAATTTTCAATTTTTTTTTTTTTTGAAGTGCGGGTAACACTCTTGAGAAATCTTTATTCCATCTCTATATGCTACAGTATTATTTTTAATATGTATGTTTTTCTACATTGTAGAGAATGTGAGACTAGGGCAGTGATGCTATTATTTTTATATGTACATTTTTCTACATTGTGCACATAGAGATAGAGAATGTGAGTTGGGGGGGGGGGGGGGGGGGGGTAAGTTGTGGAATTTAGTTTAAAACACTTTTGAGATGGGTGAATAAGCCTAACTTGTGCTTTTACCAAAATTTTTGTTTAAATTATCTAAATTTTTGTTTAAATTAAATTTATCGAATTAAAAGTAAATTAGATAACTCACAAAGCAAAAATAAACGTGGTTGTTAAACACACCGGTAATATTAATAGTAGTAGTGCTTCTAAATTCAATGACCTACCATTTTTATTATTATTATTGTTTTTATAATTCAATAACCAACTTTTAAAGTGCTTCTACATTTTGTGAAAATGTATAATCTCAATGGCTGTTTCTTTATATAACAAAAAAAAAGTAAACTAATTTACAAATCAACAATTTTTTATATAAAATTATGAAAAAATTACCCGAAGTTGAAAAATATCCCAAACTATTCAATATCGCCAAATCAGGACAACCTTTCATTTTTCCATTAACGGAGCAAGAAAATAATGAAAATGCCCTTATTTTGATAATAATAATAATAATAATAATAATAATAATAAAGGTACACGAGATGACAATAAGTAGTGTAATAGGTGCAAATTATATTTGGATAATTATACTTACATTCACTGTAGACAGGGACAAAAGTGACAATTTTAACATGGTTCTGTCATCGAAATTCAACTTAGGGCACATAACCTCCTTTAACCTCCCATCACAATTCTTTATTTTGTTAGGGGTGTGAGAAAGAATAAATAGAATAAGAAAATAGTACATGGTATTTAAGAATTCAAGAAAAATGCGTTATGAAGATAAAATAAATGAATATAAATATAGATTCAGATAGATAGAAAAATAATAATAATAAAATTGAATGCCAATCGGCCACAAAAGTGGCATTAATCATTAGTTTTGGAAAAGAAAAAAAAAAGTGAAAAATATGAAAAATGAGAAAGAAATAGAAATTTTAGAAACCGAAAACTCCCAAACATGCCATAAATATTTCTAACTTTACCCTTTTTATTTATTTTTATTTCTTAAAACTCCATAACTCGAATGAATAAGCAAAGTCAAGTCAAGTTCCTGTTAATGAGAAAACAATTTTGAAGTTTAGTAAGAAAGAAATATATAATCTCTTTCCTAAGAATGTCTTATCCATCTCTTATTCTTTCTCTTTTATCTAATTTTTTTCTTTTTTACCTAACAGAGCATAAAGCAAACCCACTTAGAAAAATAATAATTCAAAAAAGAAATTGATAAGCACATAGAAGTAAAAACAAAGACAGCAACGGAGATGATGAAGAGGAAGAGAAACTCACAATTCAGGGTGAATTCTGTGCAAAATGAAGAAGCAACTTATTACCATGAAAATTATATTTGTTGTTGATTTTTCAAATCAAGGGAGTGTTATATACAAATGGGCTGCAAGTCCTCTGATAAATAGAAAATTTATCATAAATAAACAAATAACACTCACTGTTCCAAATTACAAAAATAAAACGGAAAAAAAAAAAAAAAAATGAAGTAGTGAAAGCTATGAAATGTTCACAAAAGAATGTGACAACTTTGAATTCGCAAAATTAAAGAAAAATTGCAAATCAATGTGAAATATTATTAATGAAAAGTTAAATTTTGCTCTTAAAGTACATGCATATTTATAATAAAGAAAACCCTGATATTGCAAGGAAACTAAAACAAACCTCTAAAAAAAATAATTCCAAAAATAAATTATTTCTAAAAATTCTCAAAAAAATAGAATAAAAAGCCAATCAGTAAAAAATTAATACAATCGGATATGGTTTAGGTCATGAGAAAAAAATAAATAAAATAAATAAAAAATAAATAAATAAATAATTAACAAGCCAATAAGACAAGGAAATGTAAGTTCAGAACCTTAAATGAAGATTTTCAATCAAAAACTAACATGGCCCAATAACGAGTTTTGGTCTATGAGTTCCAAAAAATAAAAATAAAAATAAAAATAATAATAAAAAAATTACACCTTTATGGTCCGAAAAAAGGATTCAACGAACTGATAATGAAAATGTAACACAAAACTTAGATAGTATGGTTTCAATCCGAACCCATTCTGTAATTAGATCAACCCTCTTTAAAGTTTACACACAGTTATTTTTGTCCGGGGGTCAAAGAAAACTGTCGCACCCGTGATGAGCATAATATTGACGGATTGGACAAAAAGACCACACTAAGAAAAAAGAGTGATGGAGATTAAATATTCCATATTTGTTTTGTTTCTTTATTTTAAAAAGTTATATTCCATATTTGTTGTCGTGCTTTACTCGTCTGATTTTCAATCACCCACTTTTTTCAAATGGTACGAGTTAATTGTCTTCTTCTACTTTATTGTATAATGGCCAACACAGCTCTATCCTTTTGGTAAAGTATGTCCAAAGACTAGAAAATTTCCGTCAACCAACTTTTCTCTTGAATTTGATTAGGCCCATTTTGATGACCATTACTCAAATGGTGATAATTGGGCGGGTTGACACCATGACTTCTGATTTGGGTGACTCTGAAGGTGTGGCTCCTGTAACTCTCCAATACATAGGAGTGTAATATAACATAAAATCATACCATTAGTCAAATTTAATCAAAATAAAGAGGAATTATGGAGGTTTCAGGACATAGTGATATTGGTAAGAATTTTGAAGGTAAGTTCTTAAGGTTAAATTTTTAAATCACACTCCTAACTTAAATGGTACGTATGTTATAGAACTGATGCACGCACTAAAAAATATATTTCTTTCGTGTCATAAAAAGTGAAAACTGTGACTCTAACAAATTAAATTGTTATGATTTTTTAAAAACAAATTTGTTTTTGGGGGCGAAAGTGGTATATACATATATATATATATATATTCATTGAGTTCTGTGATTTTATCTGTGGATCCCATCAATGGATATTTCCTTCCCTTTTGTCATCCCCACATTCCATTCTTTCTCACTCCACTTCTTTGCTCCTTTCCTCTCTCTTCATCAATGAGTTTTAAAAATTATATATCTTTTGTTGATAGTGTTAGATACCAATGGGCTGCAAGTCAAATACTTAATTTTGTGATTTATCATAAATAAACAAGTAAATGGTGTTCAGATGCAATTGCTAATAATAATAATAATAATAATAATAATAATAATCATTATTGAGTTATGTGATTTCGTCTGTGGATCCCACCAATGGGTATTTTCTTCTCTTTTATATTATTCCACACTTTCCCTTCTTTCTCACTCTTCTTTTTTGCTCCTTTCCTCTCTCTTCATCCAGTGAGCATAACAAATTCAATCTTTCAGTGGAGCGATCAATCCATTTCTTGGGGGATTTTGCTAATTACAGGTAACATTTTACAATTTAACACTCATGTTGCCCAATATTTCAAGCATATTACATGGATCATTAATCAATTTTAATTTGCTGGTGTATGTGAAACTAGCCACTGGGTTTGGTTTCTTTATCTTTCTGTCAGATCAAGTATCTCCGTCAATGGCAATGATATTGAAAGAAGACAAAACTAACCTTAGAACGAGCAAATGCTAAAACAAGATTCATGCGAAGCCACTTTGAAGCATTTTGTGAAGCCACTTTGAGGTTATAATTGAGATGAAATTTTGTTGAGTTGAGTTGAGTTGTGCTAAAACCTTTGTGAAGCCACTTTGAAGCATTTTGTGTCTTGATTTTTGGTTACGTGTGCTTCCATTTAACCCGTGACTCAGGTATAATTTTTCTCCTTAGGCATTTTCCTTATGTACTTTGGTTTGTATATGGGATTTAATTTACTTTACCTATTTGATTTTACTTTTATTTTTATTTTTTTATTGACATCATACACAAAAACTGGTTGTGCCTGTGCAGATTGCATATTTATCTGTTGTTTATTGATCTCTTACAGTGTTGTCCAATGGCTGCTATAGGAGCCCTAGAAGCCTCATCAACTCGATTTTCTTATCACGTGTTCTTGAGTTTTAGAGGTGAAGACACCCGGAATACTTTCACCGATCACCTTTACACAGCGCTACTATGTGCAGGAATACGCACATTTAGGGATGATGAAAGACTTGAGAGAGGTCAGAATATCGCCTTAGAACTAAATAAGGCAATCCAAGAGTCGATGATTTCAATAATTGTCTTCTCAAAAGACTATGCATCTTCAAGATGGTGTCTTGATGAGCTTCTGAATATCCTTAAGCACAAGAAGACTGTTGGTCATATGATTTTGCCCGTCTTCTATCACGTGGATCCATCAAATGTAAGAGAGCAGACAGGAAGTTTTGCAAATGCATTTGCTATACACGAAGAGCGAGTTAAGGCAGAGAGAGAAGAAATAAAAGAGGAGGGGTTGGACAAGATAAAGAGGTGGAAGGCAGCTCTTAGAGAAGTTGCAGATTTGGCGGGGATGGTTTTAATAGATGGGTAATTTCCTTGAAGAGTTAATAGTATTGATTGAATACTTCCAAATTATTCACCCCATTATATGCTAATTGTACCCATTCTCCACATGATTTCTTAATGCTAATGTTTTAAACTAGTCGAAATATATTGAAACACTATCAATATAATCTATATATTATTATTATTATTATTTTTTTTTTGAATTCACACACAATATATACACTTGTAGTCAAAGTATCCATAAATATGAAAGTTTGACACCATCCAAAAATTGATAGAATAGTTAAAGTAGATGCATAAGACTTGATGTATAATGTGATGTTTTATTACTATCTTATTTCAGAATTTATGGTATAGTGGTGTCCAAATACTAGATGTTGAGTCTAGAAACTTATTATATGAGATTTCTTACATTATTAAGAATTTGACTTTATTGAATGTACTACACCATTGATATAGAGATTTGATCATTAGAAGATTTCTATTTTTAAGGAAAGAAAAAGAAGGAAAAAGAAAAGATGGATTGAACACGAACAACATGTTTAATCTTTTTTATTTTTAACTCAAGGACTATGAAGGTCATAAAAAGTATAAAATAAATTATAAACATATCTGGAATCAAGATAAAAAGAAGAAAAGCTGGGTATGAATTAAAACTGCTTCAGTATCTTAAACTTTAAGGTGTTTAAAATTACTTAAAAGCAATCTGAAAGAATAAAGATTAAAATTTCTAGAAATAAGTAGATGAGGCCTAAAGACCAGAAACATCATTGAAATTCTGAACAACATGGCTCTTTTCATAAACTTGCTTATTTGACTTGGAATCTGAATTTTGTGAATGTTCTTGTATTTTCTTATTTTCTTTCTGTCAGATATCTTTAATATTGTATAATCTATGTAATTCTGTCAATTCTAGATTGTCATAATATTCAGCTATCAATATTCTTGTATATGAATCGTAATGACCAAAATTGAACCCCATGTAATTTGTTATATATATATATATATATATATATATATATATATATATATATTCATAATCATCATTTGTTGCTTCATTTTAACGGAAGTTGTTTTAAGTGTACTTATCAATTGCCCTTTCAATTTGTAGGAAAGAATCAAGTTTTATTCAAAATATTGTTAAAGAGATTAGCAACAAAATGAATCGCACGGTCTTGAGTGTTGGTCCATACCCAATTGGAATAGATGCTCGTGTAGAAGGCATAAATTCGTGGATACAAGATGGATCAATTGATGTTGGCATACTGACAATCTGTGGAATAGGTGGGATCGGGAAGACAACCATTGCTAAAACTGTGTATAACCTAAACTTCGACAGATTTGAAGGTAGCAGCTTCCTTGCAAATATTGGAGAAACATCAGAACAACCAAATGGTTTGGTTAGTTTACAAAAACAACTTCTTTCTGATATTCTAAAGGGGAGAGAAGAAAAAATCAGCAGTGTGGATGAAGGAATCATCAAGATTAGAGATGCTATTTGCTGTAAAAGAGTTTTAGTTGTTCTTGATAATGTGGAGCAATCAGACGAACTAAAAGCAGTACTCATAATGCGCGATTGGTTTTATCGAGGAAGTAAAATTATCATAACAACTAGAAATGAGCAATTGTTGAAGGCACATGAACTGTATAAGATGCACAGAGTTGACGAATTAAACAATGATGAATCGTTTGAGCTCTTCTGTTGGCATGCCTTTGGACAAGATCATCCGATTGAACTTTACTTGGAGCACTCAAGAAGGGTTGTACGCTACTGTGCAGGGCTTCCTTTAGCTCTTGAAGTGTTGGGTTCTTCTCTTTCTGGCAGACCTGTAGATGTGTGGAAAAGTGCATTAGAGAAATTGGAAGCTATACCCAACACTCAGATCCTAAAGAAACTAAAAATAAGTTTTGATTCTTTACAAGATGACCATGACCAAAATTTATTCCTCGACATTGCTTGTTTCTTTGTGAGAAAGAATAAAGAATTCACAATTACAATACTAGATGGGTGTGGTTCCTACACAAAAGTTGGGATTCAAAATCTCATAGATAGATGTCTCCTAACTATCGATAGAAATAACAAGCTGGCAATGCATCAGTTGCTTCAGGACATGGGAAGAGAAATCATACGCCAAGAATCACCCAAGGATCCTGGGAAACGCAGCAGATTGTGGTATCACAATGACGCCTTTAGTGTATTAAATGAAAAAACTGTAAGAAATAAACATTGCTTCATTTGCTTTTACTTTATTATATATTTTTAATAGGCGTGCTTATTTTTCAAGTCCTCTAATCAGGGAACAGATTCCATTGAAGGTCTCATCCTCAACTTAAATGTGCCTAGGGAAGATAGGTCAACCAAGGAATTCCATGGTTTAGATAATGCAAATAGACACCATTCTGAAGGTTTTTTTGACAAATCAACATTACATTCTAAAAGCAATGCATTGAAGCAGCGGCTAGGCTTGTTCTCTTGGGTCCCCATAAATTCTGCCACAGTAGGATCACATTCTACATCAGATGAAGTAGAATTGCAAACTGATGCATTTTCAAGCATGCGCAAATTAAGACTGCTCCATCTGAATTATACAAACCTCGCCGGAGATTATGAAGAATTCCCCAGGAAGTTAAGATGGTTGTGTTGGCGTGGGTTCCCTTTAGAATCTATACCCAATTGCTTTCCTATAGAGAGTGTGGTTGCTCTTGACATGCGCAATAGTAGCTTGAAACAAGTTTGGACTGGAAACAAGGTCCCATACTAACTTTTTCCCTTTTTTTTTTTTTTTTTTTTTTTTTTTGGTGATTACTATGAATGTCATATATTCTAATTTCTAAATAGGCCATTGCAAGGTGCATTGGTAAAATGCTTAGGTTGAGTGTGTTATGCTAATATTTTTTACTTTTTTATACAATTGCTCAGATGGTTAAAAATCCTCAATCTCAGTCATTCCCATGGTCTTACCAATACGCCCGATTTCTCACGAGTCCCGAATCTTGAAAGATTGATTCTCAAAAATTGCATAAATTTAATTAAGATTCATGGATCAATTGGGGAATTAGGGAGACTAGTTGTGTTGAATCTAAAAGGTTGCAAAAATCTTCCGAATCTTCCACCTGAAATTGGTCAGCTAAAATCTCTTGAAATACTCATTGTATCTTGTTGTTTAAAACTTGAGAAGTTGCCTGAAGAACTGGGCAACATGGAGTCTCTGAAAGTGCTCCTTGCAGACGAGATTGGCATAAATCAATTACCCTCTATGACTACTGGGGTAAGATCATGGCCTTCACACTTCCGGGATTGGCTATTGGGACCAAGAAGAATTCCAAAATCGATCAGCTTTTCGCTGTGCTCTTTACCACACTCATTATCAAGGTTGAGTCTTGCTAGCTGCAACCTATCAGATGATGCTATTCCAAACAATCTTGGTAGCCTATCCCAGTTGCAGTACTTGGATCTAAGTGCAAATCCAATCTGTAGCCTTCCAGAGAGCATCAAGTGTCTCACTATGCTCAACGAACTCTATTTAGGCAACTGCGAAACACTCCAGTTACTTCCGGAGCTTCCAATGAGTTTAAGGGACTTGTATTTATCCAGTTGCAGGTCACTGGAAATGATAACAAATCTACCAAACCTGAATTCACTGGATTTGATGATAAATGACTGTGAGAAACTAACTGAGGTTCAGAGACTGTTCAAGTTAGAACCAATTGGAAACTTTGATGAAGTAATGATCAGCAATTTGGGCTTGTCCAACTTGGAATTCCTGAGAAATATTGAAGTGTGGTTGGTCAATAAAATGACATTAACTATAAGAAAACTTCCCCTTCAGGTGAGCTCTATCTCTATCTCTCTCTCTCACACACACTCTCCCACACACACATATTGGTACGAGTTAAAAATTATGATTTTGATGCTGTAGGGACTGTATGAATTGGGCATATTTAGCACTTTTCTCCCTGGTAGTGAAGTTCCAGACTGCTTCATCATTAAGAGCATGAGATCTTCAATATCTTTTGAGGTACCTTCATATCCTAATTTGAAGATGAATGTATATGTTGTCTATGCACAAACTGATAATCTGAGCGATGGTTATTTAGAAATTTTGGATGAGTTATGCATGATTAAAGTGAGTAATAAAACAAAGGATGTAAAGTGGACATACTGCCCAACATTCATGGGCTATCCAGATGAGGGCAAGGAGATGGTATGGTTAAGCCATTGGAATATTGTGAATCAATTCATGGAAGCTGGCGATGCAGTGAATATTTCAGTGGATTTTTGGCATAAAGGTAATCTTCAGGTAAAGGAGTTTGGGATCCATGTTGTGGAGGAAGAGAAGGATACCCCATACAACACCTATCCTTCTTGTCAAAATGTTAATAACTTTGACTTGTCATCGTATCAGGTGAGCACAGGTGCTTACTTCCTCTGCCATCATCGTTTTGACGTCTATCAATGCAACTTTCCTGATGGTAATTGGGATACAGAAAGTTGGTTGTATGATATATATTTTGGTGATACCAAAAGTTGGTTGAATGATCTATATTTTGAGGATGTCTCTTTCGATGATGAATGGATTACCGAAAAAGAGGATGAAGAAGATGATACTGATGAAGAAGATGAAGTAGAAAGGATGACTAGAACACGTAAGAACTTAAACTTTAAACTTTTATTATAATATTGTATAAATAATTAATTTATATATATATATTTCTTTTTTTATGCTTTATAGTTGAGGAAATTTATGCAATTGATGATAATGAAGACGTGGAGCCATTAAATCCCATTGATGATGCTAATGAGGAAGATGGTGATGATGATGCTAATGAGGAAGATGGTGATGATGATGATGCTGATGGTGAAGAGTTCAATTTTAGTTTCTAACTTTGGAGATGGATGAGTTAGAATATGAGATTTCTGACCTCTATGTTATTTTGAGCTACATTCTCTTTTATTTATATTCAGACTTTGGAATATTCTCTTTTATTTATATTCGGAATTCGGAATATTGTTAGGATTTGAGATTTGTGAACTCATGGATGTGTAATATTGTGTGTTTTAGCCTTATTTTGGTTATATTTTACAGATCTTATTGTTTAAGAAGTTAGTTTCAATTATTTTTTCACAATTTGGTAGAATCTTACGATTCACGATCCGATTCTACGATTCCAATTTTATGGAACCCAAAACGATTTTGCGTAGAATTTCGATTTTAACAATCTTGTTTTGGTGACTGAACGTGTGGCTTTTCTACCTCCGGAGGTCTGCCGGATAGAGAATACGTACTGTCTGGAACGTGTGGCTCCTGTTCCATGGCATAATTTAATCTGGAGCTGCAACAGACCAAGAATATCACTTCAGGCAGTTCTTATTTTACACAACTCCTTCCCTTTTTTTTTAACCTCCGAAAGAGAGGTTTCATAATTGTTTTGAAGGAGTCGGATCATTTATTCTGGTTTTCTGATATATGATCTATTGGGGCTGCTGCTCTTCTCTGATGTGTTGTCTTGGCTATGGAGGCATGTTTTGAAGGCTGAGACAGCTTTGGGCCTCTCAATCTCGAATATTTATTTTCTTTTCTTTCTTCCCAGTCAATCCTGTAGTGGATTGGGGTATGCCTTGACCTACGGGTTTCTTTGCTTTGTTTGTGATCCTTCTGCTTCTACATGTACTTTATTGTTTCGTATTTATAATTTTCTTTGCTTAGGTTATAAAAAAAACACCTGAGCATTACACAAGCCTCCAATAAGTCTGTGGTACTTGGATTTATACTTGTGCAGGTCACTGGAAGTGGTAACAAGTACATCAAACCTATTAAGATCAACAACTTTGTGATATGGTTGTAAAAAGCTAGTTGAGCTCCAAGGAATTTCAACTTGAACCTATGGAGAAAATTGACGTAAAAATGATTAACGGTTTGGGCTTTGTTAAGTTGGGATCGAAGTAGCATTGTCCTCCTCATTTCTTGTATAGTTCTGTTCTTCCTTTCTACAACACCATTTTATTGAAATGTGGCCACAACAGAGATCGAAAGGTTTAGGCGGACTTGTTAAATTGATTTACGGTACCAAAAGTAATTGATGCAAAAAATGTATGAATATGGGTGAATAATTTTATGCATATGAAGAAGCAACTTCTCAATACAAGGAAATTTATCTTTTGTAGATTTTTTAAATCAAGGAAGTGTCGGAGATTAATTTTGAAAATCTGTATAAAACTAGAAGCCTCCATATTCATGTATTTTGTAAGAAAATTATTATTATTGGCATAATCAATTGGATGCAATGAAGTGAAACCCATTTCAATGCATCTACCAAATGCAATGAAGTTCAGCTGGCTACTTCGACTGATCACTTCGATCATTATAACAAATGAAGTTCATTTTATAAAGTTTAAAATTGTTGATTTACTTAGATCCATGCACGACCACCTCCTGATTGATCGAATTATGGCTAGTCCTCACTCACAATGCCACCGGAATGTCATTGATCCGTTGAACAAAGCGTCATCTATTTGTTTTCAAAATTGGAACGAGCTTAGACAGTAGTTGTCTTCAGACATGGGCTTTTAGACAGTAACTGTTTGCCCTTTCGGTTAGGCTTGGACATTTCTTTTGGCATGGGCCTATCGCCTGTCATGTAAATATAAATTTATACTCAATACAATTTACCCTTTTGATTTAAAAAAAAAAAAAAAAAAAAAAAAAAAAAAAAAAAAAAAGAAGAACAGTAGTGAAGACTTGCAGTGAATTAACTTGTTCCTGCCGTTGGGCCTAGGTCTTGGTCTGTTGTTTTTCACTTCCACTTTGTACGGTTACATATACATCTATAAATCTTTCAACTTTCAAAAAAAAAAAAAAAAAAACCAACTCCTTCATTTGTTGTATAAATAAGCAATTAAAAATACAAGTAAGTGGGGGGATTTCACTCCCTTATTTGTTTCATAAATAACTAATTAAAAATAGTACGTCTAACAATTTACTATTCAGTGCAAAAATTATTTTCTTAAAAATAAATAAATAACAACACTTAGAAATAAAGTTTGTCTTGACCTGTTCAGTGTGTGGCAACCCCAAGTTGTGATCCACCCATCCTCGTGCAGTCCTAACAAAAGTCTCAACTGACAACTGCTGCTTCAACCGAGGGGTAATATTGGGACTAAAGAACACACATGTTGTATCAAAGTTGACCAATTGCCCGGACAATTCTTCATATTTGTTTAAACAGGCACCATATATATATATATATGTGTGTGTGTGTGTGTGTGTGTATGTTAGTATTATATATTTGATCAAAATCATCAAAGTATGAACATGAGTCTACAATTCAATTAGCCATTACCAAATAAAAAAAAAATTGCTACAGAAGAACATTGCTCCTATTAAGCTTTAAAAATTGGGCCATGGAAATAACCCATAATGATCCTGTATACTAACTTGGATCATCTAGGCCCAATTAAACTTTGAAAAAATAATGGCCCAAGAAAGACTTAAAAACTATTATCTTCTACTCTCGCACCATGATGCAGTTATGAATTTTAGTGTTCCTAAACATGTCTCTCTCTCCTTCGCGCGCGCGCGCACACACACTGTTCTCTATTGGGGCATTTTGTCGAATACTTTGTGTGCGCCCTATTTTGTAATTCTAATAGGTTTCATTGATTGAATCCTATTAGAATTACTTTGTAATTCTCTCATCTGTCTCTATCATATCGGTGAGAGTTAAAAATTATGATTTCCATGTTGTAGGGACTGTATGAATTGGGTATATTTAGCACTTTTCTCCCTGGTAGTGAAGTTCCAGGATGGTACAGCATGAAGAGCATGGAACCTTTAATATGTTTTAAGCTACCTTCATGTCCTAATTTTAAGATCCAAGGTTTTAATGTATGTGTTGTCTAATGCACAAACTGATGGACATTCTGGTCGTCTGAGAGATGGTTATTGTATTGAGTTATGCATGATTAAAGTGAGTAATGGGACAAAGGAATCTGAAGTGTATATATTGCCCATCATTCATGGGCATTCCAGATGACGGCAACGAGACGGTATGGTTAAGCCATTGGAATTTTGGAATGGAAGCTGGCGATGAAGTGAATGTTGGGGTCAGGTACTCTTAAAGCTAAAGGAGGTTGGAATGCATGTTGTGTGTGAGGAAGAAGAGAAGGGTACCCCATACCACATCTATCCATCTTGTCAAAATGTTAATAACTGTGATTTGTCAGTGTATGAGATTCGCACTTGATGGTAATTTGGATACCAACAGTTGGTGGTATGATCGATATTTTGGTGACTGAACGTGTGGCTCCTCTACCTCTATAGGTTTTCCAGAGAGAATACGTACCGACTTATAATTACACGAATTACAGAGGGTGGCCTAACAGTAACAGTTCTATATCAAATTATTTTTTGATTCACTGTGAAGCACTTCTGCTATAGAGAAAATTATTATTTTTTTGTTTTGTCAATATTGGTTTACGCTTCATCAATTTTATCATTGTCTATTTTGTTACAATGGAAGGTGTTTTTATGAGGAACATAGTTGAGGTATGGGGGTTAGGAGCTTATGTAGCATTGATTTGGCTAGTAAGCTCTCTCTGGATTGGGAATTTTTACAAGGTAAGGAAGCACTGTGGATTTCTTGGTTCAGGGATAAATACCTAGCAAAACCAGATTTTTGCATGGAATTGTGTCACGAAGCACTCTGACTCAGCTATATGGAAGTCTTTGATCCAATTAAGGGAGTTAATGTTGGAATTTTTATATATATAAATAATAAAAATTATTTTATGGTCCTATACACTACGTTTTCTAAAATATGATTACAATGTGATTATTGATACTTGATGGATTGGGTTTGTACTTTTCAATTTGGTGGTCTAATTAGGAGTATGGTTTTATACCGTTAGATTGTGGTTTTCCAACTTATTCGGTGTGATTTATTTCTAACCATTGATATCTAAGTTTCCATGATAGGAAGGGAAACTTAGGTATGCTTGTTTGTAGAGAAGTCGTCCCCCTGTTGTTGTTATATATAGGAGTTTTAAAACCCTTATTCAATCCTATCGTATCGATAACTTTCAGAAGGGGGTAAAGCGCTCTATTTTTCAGATCTCTCAAATGGCGATAAAGAATTCTCAAAAGGTATCTCAAGTTTAATTTTTAATCAGGTATGAGATCAAACCCTCTCTTTAATTGATGATCAATTTTGATTTCTACTTGTTGTTTGTTAATTAAACCCAACAGTTAATGCTTAAATGGCAGAGATACCAATTTCTGAGGGGTATGTCTAAACTGTCTAAATGCGTTGTTAAGGGTATTTTAGTTATAAAAGTTGACCGCTAGTGTTTTATCTTTGTTTGATGTCTATGTCTAAAAAAATATATACAATTAATAAAAATAAAATAAAAAAAGAAAAAGAAAATAGTATTATAATCAAAGTTTATTAGTACCAAAAGAAAAAGAGGTATAGGAATGGCTTTACGAGTCATGGTCATGCGTATGATTTTATATATCACAAAAAATATGAATGTGGTATATTCGGTGTATATTCTTTATTCTGTCTACGGGCTAATTCTGTTGGGATTTATATGCCCTGGCATAGCAAATTCCTGTTTGGATTAAAGTGACATATGTTCCTGACATTTCTGAAATATTTATGTTTTATATAATTGGTGAATTCAATGTATTATATTTCGATTCATTATAGAATTGATAGTGTCCATTTGATTACAAGAGATATTTATATATATGTATGTGATGGCAATCAATGTATGATATATAAATAGTAATCATAAATGGTTCATAGTCTGTAATTATGGATGGACTCATAATTAATTAAGATTTGAACTGGATCCGCGTTAGGTTGAGATATATTGCGAGAGCCGTTGTATGCAATTGCTCCCTATCACCGTCATGGCATTTGAATCTTAAGCATGAGAAAATTATAGACTCTTTTATTAATTAATAATTACTTTGATTTGTTCGGCGGATTCTTCGGGATCCTTAGACCGACACTTTGGGTAGTTATGTAATTAATAATTAGAGGGTTA